CCTCCCAAGTCCCTCTGAAACACAGCATTAGAAATAGAGGGATTTGCCATCCCCTATAAGGAGTTCCCACAGGGCTAAACTCACCTGTGTGCAGAGAGGTGTGAAGTGCTTGAACCTGTGAACTGCTCTGCTTTCTTGGCCCAGCCTAGCTTAGCTTAATGTCTTGAGGATCTTCCAGCCTCAGAGGGTTGGGAAGGCACTTCCGAGCTTCCAGCCTGCTGGAGTTGGCCCTGCAGCCTGGGCAATGCAGATCCATTAGAGAGCTCACCTCTGGAGTCCTGCTCTGTGTGGATTTGCATGGGATTTTGCACAGATCCACATTTTCTCTCTGTTTAAGGGCTAACTTCCTTCCTGCTGTTTTCTACTCAGAGAAGAATATGAGAGGGCCTTTATCAAAACACCCTCTAGACAACATAACAGCTCTGGATGTCAGTTTAGGGTCCCTCCTGCTGCAGAGCGATCATCAGGTCATTCAAGCCAAAGTGAGAAATAGGGCTGCGGAGTGCCTAGGTGCCTGGTTCCTCCCTCTAGTGGCTGCTCCCCAGAGGAGAGGAGACCACGTTAGGAGCTAAATAACTCATTCACTAAAGACCCTGAAGAGTTTAGGTTCAAATGTTTCTGGTAGTACCTAAGCAGCATCTGGAGTCTGAGCCCCCGCTGCCCTGCAACACGCAGTCCACAGCTCCCAGGGCGGTACCATCCCCGCCAACTCCCACTTTGCAAGGAGCTAAATGACTGCAGAAGCGATGGAGAAGAGGCTGCTTCAGGCTGGAAATCCTAAAGTTGCGAATGCGTGGAAAAGCCCGGCATCTTCCTCTTCACAACAACATGTTTTCATGGACAGATCAAATCTGCCCCTTCTCCTGACTCCTTTCTCCCCTTTGGCTGCAGCTCTCTCCATCGCAGTCCTGGCAGCCTTCGCATCGTTAAGCAACTTGGCAAGCTGTCCTTTGCCAGTGTAGTGCAATTGCAGAAGCACAACCGATGGTCGTCTTGGTAAAACAGCACACCCTGAGCGATGCGCTGGGCCAGATTCGGTTGCAGTGTCAAACTGAATTGCTTCACAAAGGACCAACATGTTGCAATCTTTCTTTCAACTTCCCGTCCGCTGCTGCTATACAATACCTACTCCAACTGTTCTCAATTAAAACATGACCAAAGATATGACCGCTCTGAATGATACAGATTATCATCAGCAACAACAAAAAAGGGCACTGCACAGTTGTTTTCTTTTCAAAAGCTTTTAATAGGACACATTTGGTTTTGTCATTTGTAAAGATTTACACTCATTTTTTGTCTTTTTTCTTTTTTTAAAAAGGAACATTTTAACCCAATTTTCCCCATGAATACCACCTTTTGTTGCCCTGACCAAAAGACCTGGTTTTGGCCTATATACCTGATACAGTATAACAATATATTAACTATTAAATACAAAGTTCTATAATATATACTAGGTTGTTACGGACATTGCAATGGTACTGTGCCTACTCTAGTCACCTTGTGTAGTAGTGTACATGGGTTATTATAGCCAAAGGGGCAGAAAAGGGGAGACTGGGGCATAGCCTAATTTACAATGGTAACGCTTTTGTTTTCTTTTTTTTTTTTTTTCATCTTGAACACACCTTGTGCTGAGTGTAATCCACAGAAATCAAAAACAGTGTTTTCTTTGCCCTCCTCCAAAATATCTACAGTATAAACGGCCTGTAACCAAGCTATGAAAAATCAGTTCTATGTGCGAGGGGCTGCAAGAATGGAATTTACATTTTTCCAGACACGTCTGCAATCTCTCTTTCCCCATGTGTCAGACTGGCAATAGCAGAATATCCTCCTCCCACCTGTATACAGTAAATCCACAGTAGTAAAGTGCTGGTGTGCTTGAATGAACTGGATAGCCATGCGACTATTTTACCATCGATAGGGGCTGGGTTTTGGGGGTAGATGTTTTTGTATGGGTACAGTTCTCAAACAGTAATAGCACTGCAATATCGTAGAACTTGAGCTTAGCTGCTTACTTCTAAACGTGACCTGGATGCAGATGCTGAAACTAGGCTCTACATGTTGTAATACAGTAGGTCTGGCTCCAGGTTTATGAAAAGAAACTTGTAGGTAAGAGCTGCTTCTGTTCCCAAGATGCTACGCAGACTTTTAACAATTTCTCTATAGATTTCTACAAAAATATAAAAAATTCTATCAACATAACCATTCTACAGAATTCCTGTGGATTTTGTACATTTTGTTTAAAAAAAGTCAAATTCTATAAAACCCCCCCAACGGTATTTAAAATTATCTTAAGATTATTGCACACTCTGCAGTACATTTCTATTTGTTTTTCAAAAGGGCATCTAGAAAAAACTTATCCGGTTTAGAAAACAACTATTTTACATGGATTTCTTTTCCTGAATGCATCATCGTAGAGTATTTTTTTTATTAGCTAGTCTTTACTGAATATTCACGTATGATGTAAACTTTTTGTTACTTCCACAAACCTTGTCAGTGGGCAAAAGCCAAAGTATTGAAAATAGAAGAGCCTTTAGGCTTTCTCTTACATTTGGAGTTGAGTGTTGGATTAACATCACATCACTGCTTTGTGCCATGATTTCAAGCTAAAATGTTGCATGTTTTTTTTGTAAGGAAGGAACTGTATGAGTAGTATCGTTCCAGCTATACAAACACACTCCTAATCATTAAGGAACCAGGGTCGGCAATTTCAGTGGCCTAGCTATTTTCCCAAATTATTTAGTACATGTGAAAGGCAAAGCTAAGGCTCATTATGAGTGTAAAACCAAAAAGGGGATTAAGAATATTTCCCAGGCTTAATACACTGTCACTTTATTATTTCCTTAAACATGATCTGGGGGAAGAACTGATGAAAGGTTTGTTTGAAATCATTGCTTTAAACGGGCTTAACTCTGGATTTGGACTGGCATATCAAAGAGAGCGGTCTCTGTATGGGCCCACGTTGAAGACGGGAAAAATGTCCCAGGCAAGAATTAATCTAACTGCAGTAAATAGTACAGAATGTTAATCCTCCTATTTCAAATACACTGATTGGCTGACTTCCCGCTGAAAGCCCTTACGTTTCTACAGGACATGTAAATCCGTAGGGATTGTTTATGGAGTAAACGTCCTCAAGTGAAAATAAAGGAGCTTAAGACCTCACATGGGCTTTTAGGTATGAACAGAATCTTCTTCTTGTATGTATACTTGAAGCCAATGCAGATACATGTAGTCGTAACAGTCTAATCTCTGAATGGATAAAAGGCTGTACATCAACAATTTGTAGTGATTTGAAAAGATCAGTAGTTCTCAAAAAGTTACAAATTCCCAACTGACAGAATTAGCACAAATCCTCCTCTTACTTGTGCTGGTTTAAAGACACGATCCTGCAAAGCCTTATCCATGTATGCAGTTTTAAACCTGTGACTATTCACACACTTCAAACCATGCCTGCAGTCTTATTTAGCTTACATCTTAATGTGATTTCATGGAAGTTGAGTGAAGTTAATGTCTGGTTTCCATCAGTAATGTGAAGAGCGGGAGGTGTTGAACCGGGCCAACCTCTCTTGATTTTCAGGCTGCGCTGTCCAGTTTTACAGATTGCTTTTTGCAGAGGGCATTAGCACAGAAGTAAGCAGTTGATTTCTGAGATGGCTAATGTTAAGGAAATGTTATAAAGTATGGACATGAATTCCGTTTTTATCTACTTTTTATCATGATGTTGCTGCTTAAGGCTTTTGATAGATTGGAAATAAAATTACAATCAGGGTCATGTAAATTAACTAGCAGTGATAGCAAAAAAGCGACTTTCTAAACTGAAAATCAACAGTCATTTCAGTACCTACAGACTTTCTTACATGTATTCCATAAAATAACTTGCAATAGGCCTTGATTCTATCGAACACATGAGCATATGATTTTAACTTTCAAGAATTACTTAAATACGATCAACCTCAAAGGCAGTTTAAGCAAGAGCTTAACTTTAAACATGTGCTTAAGCCCACGGCTGTGTCATGTTTGCACTGAATTCACCCACTGCAAATCTTAAACACGGCCTTTCTCTCCTTTTTGCACAGGTGCAGAAAGGAGGAGCTCCGCTGCAGAGAGTGGGCTTGCAGAGGTGTGAAACTCAGGAAAACAAACAGTCTGTCTTGGAGACACTGGAAAAACATCTCAGAAGTGACCACAGGCTTTTCTTGCCTCAGTTTCCTAGGCACATATGAAAATTATGCATTGACATGATTTTGTGAGTCACCAGTGGATGATTTATAATATCCTTTTGTAAGTCAGTATTGTCTACAGTTAAATGGCTCTACATTCACCATCTTCAGACATCTATCACATGTTGTACCTTCCTGGGTTTGTGCACCTGCTTTTACTCTGCATGTCAATTTTATGCAAGAGTGGAATATTACTTTGTTAAAAAACTGCCACTGCATTTCTATACTACCCAAACAATCTTTTTGCCAGAATATCATTGAAGTCCAAGGGGAAAAATAAATTACATTAAATAATCCTTATTTACTGCTGACTGTGGGATACATTTCCTCCGTAATGCACTAATTGGCTACATTTTGTGCTTTGCAAAACAAAATGAAACCCAAACAAAACAAAACAAAAAAAGAGAAGGGATTAAATATATTTTTTTTAGGTTAAAATATTCATAAAAAACAACTTTATCTCAGAAATATTCTGAGACGCATAAAATAGAAGAAAATTAAACGAGTCTTTAGTCACAAAATGTACTACATCCCGCAATACTAGATTCAATTAATTTAATAAAATATAATATACATATAGATTCTGCACATTGTATTGCTTTTACCTAAGCAGAACATACGCTTAAGTAAGCGTGATATAGGTTAACCACTCTTTTAACCAGCTGGTTCTTTAATCTTTCTTTGGAAATTTTTTACCCAGTGCCATTTTGGAATACAGAGTTTTAATTTTTTTTTTCTATTACATGAAAGGAAGAAAACATTTGGCACCAACAGAAAAGTAACTCAAGGGTCCATTTCCGTTTGATCAAAGGAAAAGCTAGGAAGTGTCAACAAGTCTTTCTTTGGGGTAGGAGATGTTGACATACTGTCTGGAAGCAATGAATCCCCTATATCCATCGAATCCTTGGACTCACAAGATGGAGCACGCCGTCTCAAGCAAATGTCTCCACTGGCAGGTGAGATGCTGTGAGGTCCTCTAGGTAGTAAACTCTGTCCATCGGGTGGATCTATAGATATACATGGAGGGCTCAGTTTTTTCTTCTGCCGTGTTCCTTGCAAGCCTTCCATTTCACTTACCACCTGACTTATGAAGCCAGAAGAGCTAGATGTGGAATGGTGCTGAGGGCTGTTTTCCATTGAACAAATTTCTATTGAATGTCTCCTTTGATCATCTAACCAAGAGGGCGGTTTTTTTAGAAGACCCTGGGTGTCTACACTGTGGTATTTCTTCAGGTCCTTCAATGTAACGTTGCCAGTATTGCCTATGTTCCTCTTAGGAGTGAGAGGCTGAACATCTGAACAGGCACTCGAGGCTGTACAAGTTTCTGAAGTGAAAGGCTCCGAGGAGCTGTTTATCTCAGATACTTCTTGGTCCATTGAATCTCCAGGTGTCTCCTGATACGAGTCTGCACAAGCACACGACCCTGGTGCCTGCTTTGAAATATTATACTGATTGTGGGAAAGCTGCTGCGTATGAACGCTTGCCCGGCTCCATGCAGCCAACTCTTGTGCTTCTGAGGGCGTCAGAGCCACTGATGACTCCTCCTTGGGCACAGCGGGGATATTTGAGTCAGAGAGTTCACTCACCTCGGTGTGGAGATTCTCCTTGCTATCCAAAGAGTCGTTCCTTATAGCCATCTGTATCGGAGTGCAAAGGGGTTGGGGAGGAGGGGAGTTGCCAGATGAGAGAGACAGACCAAACAAAGGTTAGTACAAGCAAGGCACAGCATTTACAGGGCACTCAACTCTGCTGAGATATCTCAGCACAGACCCACTGACTCCTGTAATGATCTGTGTTGTGGGTTCTAGCAATTCCAATGCTTCAGAGATCTGTGGGTTTGTCCCTGTGTAAGTGACAGCAGAATTTGGCCCTTCATTCTTCGTAAGTGGTTGAGCTTTAGCTTTCTCCTTGAAGGATGGAGGGCTGCAAAAACAGAATGCCCCCACCCAAACTTAGACATATTCTCATTATGCAAAGGATGAGGGTCTACAGCAAAGCCCTTTATACTTTTAGCAGCTCAGGTACAAGCGGGAGAGGGAAGATGTGCCAGTGAGCACATCTGTGTATTCCCTTCTCTAGCTCAGGTAGTGCTGAGGACATGGAGTAGGATCCCCAGAGCCAGCAACACCAGAGCAACCATGCTCTGCACCGGCATCAGGGCAGCAGCCTGTCCCTGGCTTTGGTCCCCGGGCTGGAGCCATGACTCTGCACCACCTTACGGCAGGGGAGCTGGAAAAGCTGGAGTCCAAAGCTGGGCTAATAATAATAATAATCTGTATTATTTCAACTTGTTCTGATGCTTGAGTTCAGGCTTCCTAAGGCACAATTTACCTTGGCTGTCTTGAGCCGTATGCAGCATCGGTGCCTGCTGGCAGAGAGAACATATGCCATGTTTTGAAGGCTTTGTCTTTTCACTGCACTACATCCCCTTGTCAAAAGGGTTTATAAATCAGCCACATTAACTGGCCCTTAAAGGCAGACTCTCAGACTCTTAAATGATCTTAAAGATTAAAAACTTCACAGAGAAATTTGGAGGAAATGCGTACAGCTGGTCTCAGTCCTTTAGAGAAGTGTAAGGAGATGAAATTCCTCACACTAAGGAATGCTTTTGTGACGAATCGCCCCAAAATGATCTTAGAATTTATATAAAAATTGTCCCAAAAGGATCATTTGAGCCAAATGATCTCTATTCAGGCAAAGCTCTCATCAGCTGCAGTATGCACATGTGTGCGCGCAGATACACAAGTCTATTGCTACATCTGCACATTGGGCTCCCTTTGTCATCTGTGAGAGTTGAGAGAATATTTAATACAGCAAATTATTTTGTGCAATGCTGGTGAATCCTTTCTAGTTAAAATTTTACAGCATAATGCTGGCAACTAACCACAGTCAAGAGTGGAGCTAGTTCTGGTCTCCTCAATGCCAATAGTTTTAGTGAGCGTTTGGGAGAAGAAATCATGTTCATATCCTGAGAAGACACACAGACCACAAAGAAGTAGAATACAGAAGCAAAAAGTAATTATTGTCATTACTTTTGCTTGTACACCAACCTGTGTTGCAACAACAACAGTATTAGTCACCACCAGCTTGCTCTTCTATGATACAGGCATCTTTGGTAGTTGTTAGTAGTAACTGTTTGTACAAATGTTTTACTAGTTTGCTGCAAAATAAAAGGACCCTCTGCCATCCCACTGAGGTGTACACCTGTAGTAGCCACAGCTTGGTGTGGGCTACACCTTGGATACACAGTCCTGGAACCAGAAAATCAATATAGTTTTAATTTCAGGTAGAATTCCCCTAGGAAAAAGCTTTTGTGCAATGCATTGCTAAGGAGCATATTCCACAGCAGGAAATGTTCTCTCAAAGCATCCAATCCACTCATCTTCATCTGCAAGTGCATCGCTAATTGTCAAACGTTCCGGCGTCTAAACTGCACGTTACTGGAACGACTGTGTTCGCTCTCCAGCACTCTGGAGGGAAAGGGAGGTTAAACACACAGGTTTTAATGATGGAGGAAAGTGCACGGACCAGGTATGTGGTGGACAAGATTTATCTATACAGAAATTTAGGAAAGGAGTGGGGACAAGGGAGACAGGAAAGGAAAGAAAGAAAAGAAAGAAAAGAAAGCAAATCAGAATTACATGCGATATACGTAATAATAAGGAAAAATGGGTACTGCAAACCCAAATGCTTTGCTGGTTTGGGCTGTTGTGATGTGCTAGTAACAAATTAGTGGTGGCAATAAATGGAGCCAAGCAGAGAGCACTTGAGCAAGCAGAAGTGCTGGGGTCGTAAAGGGAATTTTGCCCCTTTAGGAACTAATTTTCACAGTGTCTGGCCATCTAGATTGCAATTAACAGTAACAGCAATACTGCCCTGTTGCCTGGAACAACCTTACTGCTCCCATTAGCCACACTGGGAGCTCCTCGCTACTCAGGAGCATGCCCAAGGCAACACCTCAGTAAACTTCAGAGGGATCTGTCTGGCCCATGGACCACATATGCTCACTGTCCCAAAGCTTTTTTCTCTCTGAAATGTCACTCAAAGAGCGTGCTCATGTCACTGCATGAGCAGAGAGAGGAGGGAGGGGAATAAATTAACTTAAACATATGAAAAGGTTTAGAAAAAGAAGCCTTCAAAGATATGAATAAAATTAGGCTGAGGAAAATGGCTAACATGGTAATTTATTCTAGATAGATCGGTTCAAAAGGATGGGTCTGTTATTCATTAGAAAGCAAGAGAGAGTGGTTATGAACTGGAATCATGACATCAATTAGTTTCCCCATTAGCAGTGATTGGGGTAGCTGGCTAGCCTTGTGCAAACGAATACATGTTAGGAATTTCTTATGTCAATTTAGTATTACAGACTAATGTAATTGTTAACCTTGGTACTTCACATTCATTTTTAGAGCTTAATGAATCAACTGTCTAATTTGTCAATGTTGATTAAAAGATGAAAGAAACGGGAATATTTTCATGCAGGAAGGAAATTGCTTTTGAAAAAATAGAACTGATCTATTTTGTGTATATAAAATCAGGCATGAAACTACTAAAGAAAGAAGAGTTTGGGAATCAGACATGCCTCTGGTCCTGGTCCAGCTGCACAATGAAATATGCTTAAAAATGTGAGAGTGAAGCACAAGTTTAAGTATTTTACTAAAAAAGATAAATTTGAACGTATGCTTCCAATCAACCAGATTGGAATCTTTGATTAGATCTCTTCGATCTTTAGTTGAATCAGGATTTAAATCAATGCCAGTCAAAAACTAGAGATAAAACCAGTTGCAAAATAAAATGTGCTCTGTTTTGCATATACTCAAACTTTTCAAAAGCACACAGGAGGTTCAAAAGGATCTTAATTTCCAATTCTCACTGTAAAAGCAGTATGCTTTCCATGATGGTTTTGCATACAAGATATTCAGCTTCCTTTAAGCAGTTTTCCCCTTTCAAGAAACCAGAAGAGCCAGAGGAAGGGTGGCCTGGTATGGATTCTGCAGTCCCTGTGTCCTTTCAAGCACTGAGAAAATCACAACAGTTAAGAATTAGTTCCTCAACCCCAACGAGCCCCTGGGGAGCATTTGGCTGCATTTATGAAGAGGACTATAAAAAATAAAGTGCTAACAATGTGGAGAACATTTAGGCATGTTGCCAAAGGAGATGATACTCATCATGCACATTCTTTGGAGACTCCTGGATGTCTTTCAGATCAAAATCCATCAGCCTTTTTGTTATTTCTGTAGGAGAATTACAGCTGTCCAGAGGTTTCTCTGTGAATCCCTCCTTGAATTTAAAGCATGGTTAACCTGGAAACAACATAAAACCTCAGCAGGTCCATGATCATAAGCCTGCTTACCTGTCTGCGGAGCAGCCTTTCTGCAGAAGGAGAGTGCACCTGCTGGGAAACCTGGGGTTTGCTCTCCCTCACCAAATGGTCATGAGCTCTTACATGGTGAAAATGGTCTTTTGGAATTTGCAGGAGAGAGCTGGTGTCTGCCGGCTGCGACTGCACCGATGCCTTTGAACCTTGCAAGAGTGAGAAGAGACAGAAATGTGACGTTCTTCTGGGGATTGCATCCCAATCTCAATGACCTTTCAGAGAAAACTGCTCGGTTGCACCTTGGACCAGACAGGCACGGCAAAACCACTGAATTCAGCAACTGGCTGTCCATGATTGGGAAAAAACTCCCACCTACTAATAAATTATTCCAAAATTGTCTATTATTTCATTTTTCTTGGCATTTTCCCCTGATACAACTGGGACTAGCTCCTGTTAAGAACAGAAGATTACAAACTAGAAGTTCATCTGAACTGGCAATTTCTACATCCCTGCTTTAGGGCCAATAACTCTGCAGGCAAGCACACATCTTAGCACCACAAGGGTCTGACTTTGAAAGACTCTAGAAAAGGATGTCTCCATACCTGAGCATATGCGGAGACCGACTGCTGGGATCTCAAAACCAGCATGCACACTGGGAATGAAGCGAAAAGGGAACAGCACCTGGCAGCTCTCACGGCTGGTTTTACAAAGCATCCCAGGAGAAGGAAATACGTACTCTCCAGCCTCTTTCTGACCCTTTGTGGTTGCTGGCTACTTCTTCTAAAAGGTCTGAAACTCTGCATGCTCCCCCCACCACAGGCTCAACATTTTTCAAAACAATTCATTTAACCTGGACTGCATCCCAGAGAATCTCATTTGTCCTGGAAACTTTCCCAGAACAACAGCCCCATTACGAAGGAGTATTCAAACAAATACCTCCTGCAAGTGCCAGTGTTTCTGACAACAAAACCTTTCTCAGCTTGAAATATTATGGCTTAGTTGTGGTGATTTATTAGAGGTGCCTGGCACCTTTTGCTATCTTCACAGCACTTTATAATATTACAAGCTGTAAACAGGTAGGGGTGACTTCGCCCACCCTGAAAAGCAGTGACATTGTAGGTGGAACAGGACAATGATGCATATGCCAAGATACGGGCACCTTACCCACCTCTGAGCACTTTGGCCCACTTAAGACGATTGGAATTTCACCAGCAGGAGAAAAACACAAAAGGTTTAATTGCTTAATGTGGTTATGAATAAGACATCAGCTTTGCCTTTCCAAAATACTTCTCCTACATCTCAGTGGAACAGTTTTTCCTGCAGATTTACAAGGGTGCAATGCCAGCCCCCGCCCAAGCCAGGGCTGTCAGATGGGGCTACTGAGTTCTCCAAGCTGGAAGTGCAGTCTTGAAGAAAGAAGGGACTCAGAAATTACCCACTTTTTGGTCAAGTTGACATAGTTTTTGTTCAAGACAGGGCAAACGCGTCCGAATTAAGGGTCAAAAATGCAGCACTGGAAACTCCCTCTGTAGCAAATGGGATTCTTTCATATGGTCAGGGATTATAATTCCAAGGAATTTCTCAGCTGTTAGAGAGCGCCATAAATTCTGGCTCCACTGAAGGTAATGGGAGTTTTGCTATTGACTTCAGTGGGACTAGACCAGGATTTTAGCTGTACCTTTTGCATTATGTACAAAGGTTCTTCAAAGGACAGATCTTGACCTTGAAAATTTTGTATTATGTCAGTGATTTCTCACAACTCCAGATTCATCTTCCTCTGTTGTGTCCATATTTTTTTTCTGCTGTTCAACAGTCACTATTCATCCAAATTCTTATTACTATGCAAATTTCAATATCTTATTTCTAATCTGTGCAAATCTCCTACTATTCTGAACAGTGCTGAAATTATGTTCTGCTTAGAGGCTTTCAAATGACAATGCTTGTAGAAACTTCTCTGTCTTATCTGTGACAAATGTCTGAAATGATGGCGCGTACAGAGAATTAAAGACTGCTACATTCACTTGCCAGCAGAAGGTAACCCTTAGCAGACAGAGTAAATGAAAGCACATTGATAAGCACCGGGAGGCAGCTGCAAGTACAGTACAGAGGTGCAGGTAGAGAGAGAGCCCTTGGTGTCTGCAATATGCTGTATCTAAGAATATCTCTGAATTTAGCTCTAAGGCGTATATCCCAGCCATGCACACTGGGAAGGACAATTCTACACTCTCATTTTTCCATTCACCTCACACTGAGATCTCTCTCAATTCAGCGCATTTATGTTCATTTTACAGGCATTTAGAGACACCATCTTCCCATCTTTCACATATGTTCCCATACAGAGCTTCCAAAACCTGCTAGAATAGGTACTGCTGCAAAAAAACAGACATGAGAAAATATTTTTCTGCTGGGGTTTTTGCTCTGGGGCCATAGCTAGCTCAGGCAAGATGGATGGAACCCAGGCTGTATGGACTGTAACCTTCAGGGAACCAGGCAAGGGGACAACCAGCATTGAGCCAGGCCAACTGCTCACTGTCACACTGCCAAAAAGTTCAGAGGAAAGGAGTTCTCTTTAACAGCCTGGACTTTGTAAGTTGTGGAGGGTCTTTGCAAGTTGTGGAGGATCTTTGCAAAGCCATTCCACAGGTCTGGACACCAACACCTCACTGGAAACCGATGGCAATTTGCTGCCTCCTACTGAATAGCTTGGAAAATCCAGGCTATTGCTATATTGGAAAATCCTGCTCCTGTTCCAGCTGACAGATGCGTACCTGACTGGGACTTGTGATGTGCCGGATTCCTCTCGCCCAGGGAGGCAGGGCAGGGGCTGAAGTACGGCGGCTGGAACATGTAGCTGTCATTTGGCAAAGAGTGGGTGCGCCCCACCGAAGGCTTTCTCACACTCAGCAAGTCCTTGCTGGGAGACAGGGTCAGCGTGTCATCTTTGGAGCGGAGATCAGCCTACGGGGAAGAAAACAGTGAGGAAGGAAGACATCATGGGGTGGGAAGAGGAGAAGTGCCCAGAAACGCTAGCGACAGCCATTGCAATCAGTATGGCACGATGGGCATGCACATCGTTAGTATGTACAAGTTGCATGAATGGATCTACCAGGAAACTATACCCCTCATTTTGTATTGTCAATAAATTGTCACACAGAATGAACCACAGAAACAGAGGAAGCAACACTGTAGTAATAAACCATGACTATTTCAGGGATATGCAAAGAAGGCATCATGCCTCAAGGCCAGCAAAGGTCACATGCTTTGCATAACTTTGATCCACTGCAATAACGGTAAAGCTCTCTCTATGTGCCCTCATCAGCAAGTCAGACTTTTGCAAAGGTGAGTAGTTTCCTCTTCTAACAACTAAAAAAAAGAAACCAAACAAAAAACCAAACCAACAACTACAAACACTAGTTTACAAAAAATATTCTATATTCTGGCTCCCAGCACAATTTTATTGTTTTTTCTTCTCACATAATGAATAACTAAACCCATTTTATTGAAAGGGATATCTAAACCTACTGCTCCAGGGTTAAAGCCATTCTCTAACTAGACAGAATCTAACGCAAGCGAGAGTTATTGTATATATGTTGACTGTAGAGTTTTTACAGCCAGAGTCTCTTGGAATGAGCAGCACCAGAGGCAATATCAAATGAGGTGGATTCAGGTCTGATTTCATAGGGGAATATCTCCATCCCAGAAATGTTCTTGGGTGTTATTATGTTGGACAGTATTTGCAAAAATGGAAGCAAAGTCCACTTTGCTGGATATTTCTAATGAAAGAATTATTTCATCTCCAAAGGTCTCCATTGAAAAACACAGAAATAAGATGTGACACTGTAGTCTGATACAGTATATTGCTGATCATTTTTGGAAAACTTTAAATGTTATTTTCTGATAAATCTTCCCTTCACTGAGTGCATTACAGACTTTCTGAAATCAGCACTGAGATTTTTTTCCCAATTTTATCCTTTAGTCATAAAACCAGAATTTCACTATGGCATTTTGTTTGCACAAGAAACATGATGAGATTAAAAGGAATTTACAAAAAGAAAAAAAAAAGGAGGAAAAAAGAAAAAAAGGGGGAAAAAAAAGGAAGACCACTGTTGTAAATTTAATGAAGGAAACGGATCTGCACTGTCATGCAGCATTAGTTTCAGTCCTCAGGAACCTGCCAATTTGGATATAGCCTAGATAAGAGAGACTGCAGTCTCCTGATATAGCTCAGGGAAGGAGAGCGAAACCTGTGCTGGTAAAGCTGAGACCTTGGTTTTGGGAACCTCTCTGTTCCTCCCTGCCTTCCCCTTCCGAGCAGTATGTTTATGCTATTTAATTTTCATATTATTTAGCTTAAAGCAAAAAAGATGGCCTGAAACTGGAGATGGCAAATTCAAAACCATTTGGATCTGAACACAAGAATTTGGATTCAACATCCTACCCAAACCCCAACCTTTAATGAACCTTTAGGTTCATTGACGGGATCCAATACCACAGCGGGCTCATTTCCACTTTCTGATCATCTTGGGGGAAATCTCATGAGTCAACTTCATGAAAACCATTCAAAATGGCTGCAAAATGATCTTCTGAGTCCAGCTCACAAACAGAGCAGCGAGAGCACATGACTTTTTGGTTCAGTAGTAGTTTTGAAAAACATGTTGTTTCGGTTTGACTGAAAATCAAATCTGAGTTTTCCGTGAACCAAAAAAAATCCCAACACAAATCTATTTTGAGTCAAACAAAACACTCTGAGATATTTTCCAACCAAAGCTGTGTCTAAATGAAGTATAAAAATATTGCATTTAGAAAATATTTCAATGAAAGCTTGCAGTTTTTCAGGAGTTTGGGAAATTGTTTTGACCAAAACACTTTGTTGGTATTGACACAAATTCACAAAATGCTTTGTTCAACCTGGTTTTGCTTTTTTTTTTTGAGAAAAAACATCTCTCTTGGATATACCCTTGAGTCTTTTCTATGCTGTCAAACAGGTTTGTCTAATCTGTTTCAAAGCTAGAAGGGCTCTCTCCTCAGTCCAGCTCTCCAGACTAACTAATTTTGAAACAAAATGTCCCATACAAAATGCTAAACATAGTTTACAAAATCTTTTGCACGTGATGCCATGAAGCATGATGGGAAATATTGTCACGGTTTAAGAGATGTTTCTCAAATAAGTGCTAATTAGGATGACAATTGACTAGAATGGCAGAAAATTTATCAACAACACAACATCCAAAGGCAGGTACATGAACAACAACAAAGAAAACAGGAATGATCCAAAAATGTTGGAAAAGGAGTTATGTCTGTTGTACAGCAGAAAAAAGCACTTGACCGCTACACAGCTAAAAATGTCTAATGTTTCAAAGAAGAGATGGTTAAGGCAGGGTTCAAAATACTGATTATTTCATTCAAAAAGACACAAAACAGTCCAAACTACTTCCCTCCCCACCCCCAGTGGGATGACTGCTCGTAAGAATTCACAAAACAAGCAGCATCTCAGAGAGATCCCCATCTGATATTTGTAAAATAAACAGTCTGGCACCAATCATGCAAAAAGCCTTGTGGTGCCTGTGTTCATAAAGACAAAAATCCATTACAAACTAAAGGGCTGTAGATGACCCCTCAGCAGAGGACACATGAATCATTAGCTCATGTGTGTCTCTTCCATGCAGCATCACTGATTTGTTTCAGATGGGGAGGAAATTTCAACCTTGACCAAAATATTTTTTTACTATTTATTTTACTTGTAGAAAACACATTGTTTTTACATAAGACACCAAAGGAAAAATAGAAAAAAACACTTGTTCCTTGCAAGGAGCCAAATTCATGGACAAGAGTGATAACAACCCAGGACCTAATGGCATTAAGGACAATGTCCTGTTCAGGGGAAAGGTTGGTGCTATTTGGAAATGTCCTTGAACTGAAAATGCCATTAGGCAGGTGTAGAGAGGTGGAAGCAGTATTTCGAACCCTGTAAACATCAGACTATACAGCGACCAGTGTATGTACATTGCTTTCCAGAGCATTAAGTAAGTGTGTGTTAGTATCATCAGGAAAAGAGTCATCCGTCAGAGCTAAGGACCAGGACTTTTCAGAGAGAATATCTGACGTCAGAGACAGAGCCTCCATCTCAGCTAGAGGGATCTAAAGGGAGAGATGATTAAGCATAAGAAACCAGGACACAAATCTTTAGGAAAAGAAAAAAAAAATCATAATCTAAATAATTCTAGACACTAAAGCAATATTCCCCCATTGGGAGATGCTACATCATGCACATTGTTACCGGGGACAGAACGTTAAAGAAACAAAATATAACAAAGAAATAAAAAAAAAAAAAAAAAAAAAAGAGTGGGACATTCATACTTGAATGCTTACCAGTGAGCTGGGAGGGAGTTTAAAGCCATACACTAATGCTAGCATTGTATTTTGTTGTTCTCCTGTCTAGATGAAGAGAGATATTTATCCTCTTGACTATGATCAAATACAATAGGCTTCAAGATCTTCTGACTTCTCTGAAGTTGTTCCTACCCAACAACCATGCCGTTTTCTTGGCCTCTAAGCTAATCTGGTTGAGTCCCAAAATATTCCCCAACACTAAAATAATTTTGCAGGTGGGGTATGGAGTGTGCTCCGGGGAGGGTACGGGGACTTCCCCCTCCCCAAGAGGTAGGTGGGACTATCATTAACTTCCTAATGGCTAAATGGGAACAGGGAGAAACTTAAGGCTTGGTTCAAAGTCTGGAAAGGTCAGCGAGTGCCTTCCTGGTGACTTCAGTGGGGTTTGGGCTGCTAAAGAGCCTCCAGTGCCTCGGTAAGCACCAATAACTGTCCTACTGAAAGAACCGCCTGCGTCTTCCAGCCCCCAAATGCCACCCCAGCCCTGGCCCCCAACAGCCTCCTCCAGCTCCGAGCAAACCCGAGCTGGGAATAGGTGCTGCACTGCTGCACCGACGCTGTACCAATGTGTCTTGCACGAACACATCCCCGCTGAAGGCATTCAGGTAATCGATAAAAGTCTTTATCAAAATATTGATGAAGCTCGTTCCCTAGACACAGAGCTCTTTTTATAAGAAATGTGAAATGCCACTTCAGGTTTTGGAGAGAAAGGGGAAAAATGGGAGTGCAGTGTCTCTCCCAGAGCAGCATGCCTGCTGCCAGGCACTGCAAGGAGGGATGCTAGCCCTGAAGTGCAGGCTCAGCCCTCCCCAAATTCCCCCCTCAGGTACGTGTCTGAGGCTGGTGCCCTTGGCAGTGGGAGAGAGGCACTGGGGACAGCATCTCATCGGGTGGCCTACAGACCTGGCTCATGCTTGCAGAGGCCTCCTGGTCTGGACAAGTCCCAGGTGCTTCCTTTTCATTTCTCACTGTGCCTTTTTTTTCCCTATCCTCTATGCTTGAAAAGTCTTTCAACAGCAATAATATCTTCCAAGAGAAACCACAGAGACACGGATCTGTTGCACTTAAGTTGTCAGAGGGCTGGATTTTCTCACTCTTAGAAATGGCATCAGTGGGGTGAAATAAACCCAGTGATGAGTGAACCTTGAGAGGCTCAAAACTTCAGCCGAGATAAGGAGGAGGGTCGGGCTCCTTTCATCTAACCTTGGGTTTGATATGTCCTCTAACACAGTTGTCCGCTGGCAATGGATGAGAGAGATGCTTTGGAGGAGCTCCTGATTTCATACGAGGCTCCCCAAAAAAGCATCACTGCAAAGGTTGCCAACACGAGGATGGTGATCCCTAATGGGGACGGAATCAGCCCTCCGACTGGAGCCCAAGCAGATGGGGAAGGGCTGTGCTAGAGCATGGTGGACACCAGCAGCTCCTGCCTGATATTGCTGTTCCGCTGGGAGCTGCTATTAATCAGGTTGCTTTCAGCAAGCCGCAGTGCTGCTCTAAATTCCTGACTTGCCTGAGAACATGACAAATGGTGTGAACAGAAAAGCCAAAATGTAAACAAAACATCACCACCCTTCAGCCTCTCCTCTCCCAAAATTGAGTTTGAAACTGTCAAAACATTTTGTTGGAAACACTCAACTGATTTATATGGGTTTTAATTACGGGGGGCGGGGGGGGGGGGAAGCTTAAATTTTGAAAGAAAAAGCCTTTGCAAACTAGTATGCTATATTTTTTCATTAAAAAAATGTCAAAACAAAACCATTTTTTTGCCGCAGCAGCACTTTCTGGTGAAAAATGTTGTGATCAAAAATTTCCAACCAGCTCTCGCTGAGTTTCATACTGACCTTCTGCCTTCCCCGCCAACGCTACTGTCTCTATTCCTCTGGCAATTCTTAGAGGCAACCACTTCCCATAGCTTAATAGACCTCAATCTGGGAAGTGATACGCAGCAATCAGAGGGAGACATGTTAGCCTGCTATATAAAGATCTGCAGTAGGATTTCATCTTACCTAAGCTTGTTCCTTTCCTCTAATGAACTGCCAAGTTGGATAATTTAGAGTGTCAGTGAGCTCATAAATAAGCACACTGACTTATCAAGAAAACATCTGCTATTTTTAGCCAGAAAGGGGAAAAAAAAAAAATCAAGAAATATGAAATTTGCTCAATTCCAACTGCAAGGAAAAAAAGGTATGCTTGAATTATTATTATGGTCACTGCTGTGATTTAGGGAAAATATTTGCTCTAAACAATAACATGCTTGAGAAAGTAGGTATTTTATTCTAAGAAGTAAATGGACTAATTTTAAACACATATTACAGCCCTTGTTCAAGAAAGCACTGGAGCACACAATTACTTAAGTACATCATTAAGGGCTGCCTCGCTGTCTAAATTCAGTTTAAATCAGAGAAGAGGATCTAGTTTACAATGACCCACTTGCAAGAAGCCTTTTTTAGGAAAATCATTTGAAACTGGATTTTCATGCAGTGTAAGTAGACACAGAATGTAGAGATCATTTTATGATCCCCAGCAGCTCAGGCTCTGCTCTGGGAAAACCTCACACCATACTCCAGGCTCTGCAGATGTGTCCTGACATTGCTACGGAGCCCTGGTGAGGAGCAAGAAGCCAAATACAAGAACCCCACTGAAGGATGAAGACGGGATTTTGTACGTTTCCTTACAACACTCGTGAACAGTAAATCCCAATGAAAAACTTCTTACTGTGTTGAAGAGGGAAACTCAGAGCCTGTACTTTCCTCTTGCATTGATATACAACACCATAAACCGAGATATTATCTCAACTCCCACAGAAAAAGCCAGAATGACTTATGCTTCAAAATCCCTGTGACTACATTACATAAAGAACTTTAACTCTCTATTAAAGGTCTCATTCAAATCAAGTTTGGATGGAGACTTTGCAGGAAATTAGGAATATTAACCTGGTTCTCAGAGTTGTAATATTCGGGAGCTGGGAGGGCATAATGATGGCACACAGAGCCTGACAGGTTGTCCATCAGCTTCAGCTCTCCTTCCAGAGATTCCTGGATCAGCAGTGATATGGTATCAAACAAGTGCCTTTCCTAGGAGGGGTGGTGTATAGCATGCAGAAAGAGAGAGCAAGCCAAAAAGAGAGAGGGAAAAAGCGAGGGACAGAGACAGAGAGAAAAAAAGGACAGTGTATAAACACAACAAACAAAAGGGGAAGAAAAAAAAAAAACAGAATAGAAAGGGTGGGGGGAAGACAGAAACGTTCAGGGTGAACAGCAGTAACAGAAACAACGGGACAGGAGAGGTGAGGCAGGAGAGGAGAGAGAACAGTGCAGTAATATCACGGTGAGCAGTGACAGCTTTCTCAGACATTACTAGAGATGAGGCCGGTGCTGGCTGCCCCGGGATTGTGGCTGCTCCCGCTCAGGGCCCTCCCTGGGGACAATTCTCGCTCTCAGCAAACGTGACCGGTTACTCCTGGGATCTGAGCTGTGTAATGGGGCCAGTATAGCAGCATCTTGATACTTGGTGCTATGGACTTCTACAGGACACTACTGCTGTAAGGTTTCTATACCCACTGTCCACATTTTTGAGCAAGAGCTAATATTTGACACCTAAATCCCTATCCAGGGGTCACATAAATTAAAATAACCTAACTTGAAGGGAAGCTGAGCATCCTGTCCATAAAAGCTGAAGATGCCCAGATGTCAGGTCACTAATTCGCACGCCAGATGTGGGGTGAGGTGCCTCAGTTGTCCTGGCCAACTTCAAACCAGCTGGCCACAGCACAGACAATGGGAGGTTATACAGAGCAGGGTCTGGCTTTCACAGGCTGCATGGGAGCGATTCAAGGGTTGCACCTTTCATGTAGGGAATGTCTACTACGTACAATGAAACAAGGACCATTGTAAGAGTCAAACAGCACACAGTGCAAAAATCCTGGGGAACAGGCAAGCAAAAGAGCATGCTGACCACATGTCCTTGCAGGGTCATGTCCTGGGAATTGTATTCCTCTGCTATCGTGCTCAAGTATCAGATTTTTCCTGAAGATTTTGGCTGGGAGAATAAATAGTCAGAATAAAATCTCCTGGAGGTTTTTGAGGCTTCTGTCTGAGTGAAAGAGAGCAAGAAACACACTCTGGAGATTATGAGTAGCATAAGCCCTTTCCAAAGCCACCTTCAGAGAGGGCAGGTTTAAAAGACTGAAGAGCTGAGGGTATTCTTCCCACCGATTTGCCTTGTGATTGCTCTCTTTGCCAGTGTGAGGACTGATGCAGGACAACAGTGCTGAGGACAGTTTGCCAGTACTCTGCTTAGCATGTACAACAACAGTTGGGACATGTTGTTTATTCCTAGAGGACACAATGAGTCTGGATTTCCCCATATTGCCCTGAACTCCTTTTTCCTGTGCCAAAGAGCAGCTTTGGACTCCATCTCAGACATCAGTGACTCCTAATGGCACCAGAAATTTCCAGTAGCTTAAGAACTGAAACAAAGCTTAAGCCAGGATTTACTCTTTTTCACCCTTGGATCATAAATGAGTTTTTCATGCATTAGAATACTCATTAGTCCGCCCCAGGCAGAAGCCAAGATATGCTGTTGTGAAATCATGATGTAATAAAAGCTAGTGAGGTCCGTGTCGAGTTTAACCCAATTTGCAATCAGCTAAGATTAAAAAAAGGCTGAACTGTTTTTCTTGTATAATTCCAGTTCGGTTCACTCCCAAAGGACCTGTCTGGGTCTTGACCTCACCTCTCTCATTCCTCAAACTGAGTCTTCATCCAGAAACTGTGCTTTAGAGAGAGAGACTTGTTGCGGCTTATAGCAGCTACCACATTACAGCCCTGCTGCAGCACTGCTCCTGCTGGTGGGAGTTTTGCCACCAGTTCTGGTGAGCTCAGGTTTGAGTCCCCTCTGGATTATTCTATTGTTAAAATAATCTTTTCTTACAAGCTTGATTGTGGAGATGGATTTTAAATTGAGGTTACATAAAACAAATTTAACACTTCAGCAAAGATTAGCCAAGTTTTATTCCTCTTTTATGTTGTGGTTCATGGTCTGCATTAGAAAAGCAAACACATTATGCTCATGATTTTGCTATCACAAAGGACCTAGCCTAAACTCCGGATTAGAGCAAATTTGGAGCTAGCTCTGAACTGGGTGGCTTGGGCACATCTCCAGAACAAATTGCAAAGCTCTCTACCTCCAAACAGATGCATCAAGGTGGTCTGGAGACCTGCCTAGGGTCTTTTCCCTGGAGCATCCGTTCCCACACCACGCAACAATCAGTCAGCAGACAGTGAGGAATACAAGCCCTGGACATATGGTACACCCACTCCTTCATCACCAACTCGTGCATGTCTTCCCCTAGCAAATATGCAGGTCAAGCCCTCCTCACCCTCCAGCTGAGATTCTCACCATAGGGTAAACTAATGAGAGCTGAGAATCCACCTTGACTTGCATGGGATTGGTACATCCTCGGGGGCTCCCGGGTCTCTCTCCAGCAGCACTGCCTGTCCACGCAAAGATGTCCGAGGGGCTGTGTTGGCCGGGGGTGATTGTCTTCATTTCCATCTCCAGTTCTGCTTCGAGCTCTGCCTCCTCCTTCGCCTCCTTGTTGCTCTCCTCCAAGTGCTTCATGAGCACGGCGATCACCACGTTCACCAGGACAAACTGGGCTGTCAGCACGAAGGAGACGAAGTAGATGGGTGAAATGACAGTGTTGTAACAGGTGGACTCCTGGTCACAGTCTCGCAGTGTATCCTGGAAACAGGGGGGAAATGATGGAGGGATGTGAAGAGGTTCCAGCATGGATCTTGGTCTGCTGTCTGCTCAGCTGGCTGCAATGAGTTTTTTCATGAAGAAAACTGAGCAGATTGGGCAAATTTCACGTCTAGAATGGCAAAATACTTGCCAGTAAAACCTTACGTTTCTGTGTTAGCCACCACAAGCAGGCTCAGAGGAAATTGTCCTTGGGTTTGCAACAGACATCGACACCCTGCTGCTCCTAAAGGAAAGGCTGTTTTACCAGGTTAGAGACCAAATACACAAGAGCGTGGTAGATGGATCCAGGGCAAAGCAGGGTGCAGCTACAACCCATCAGCTATCCCATGGCAGCTGGGCTTGCAGACACTCTTTCCTCAAGTTCACACCCTGTCATTAAGACTTTGGCTGCCTAACACTCACCATGGGCTACAAATGGTCAGAGAAACAATTCCTTCAGACTAGCTAGCACCCTGTGTATTCATAGACCAGATTTCTTCACAATAGCATGCCTTTATGGCTGTCCACTAAGAGAGACTCTCTCTCAGAAACCTGGGTTTTCCCAGAGAAAAATCCACAAAGTAATACCAACAACAATAATAATAGTAACTGGAGACTTTTAAGGAGAAAAAAAAAAAAACAAAAAACAAACACTAACACAAGTTACTGAGCTGAATTCATGTTTTACTTGAGAGATGAGTCCCTTTGTTTTTTCCCCTTCTTTTTAAGTTGCTGTCTTAGGTTAAAAAAAGAGGAATATATGGAGTACACCAGGAGCGTGCAACCATAAGCACTGCATTGTTGGGAGGAGGGAACAGAATTAGAGACTTTGCCCAGTGCATGAATGAAGAGACCAGCTCACTGCAGGACATGAGTGTCCTGGCTGAGCATCGTTAGTGGTCTGGAGCAGAGCGGATGGCTTCTAATTAAGCAATTAGAGGCAATACTCATTTTCTGTGGGTCTCTTACCTTCATTATCCCATTCCAGTTGTCTCCTGTGGATACTCGGAAGAGAGTCAGAAAGGCCATCCCAAAGTTTCTGAAGGTGGCATGCCGTCCCAGCCCCTCGCAGGGGTGCGTGTCATCGCACTCTGCGGGACCAAGCACAGCCGTGAGACCCCAGCTTGCGCACTGCTCCCACCCCTTCCACTGGCACAGGGCAGGGGAAGACTCACCAAGGTCTCCAAACAGCTCCACTCCAAGAGCTGCAAATATGAAAAACAACAACATGAAGAGAAGACCCAGATTCCCCACCTGGAAAGAGAAAAAGAAATGGGGGAAAAAAACACAAAAAAAGAACATTCATTGATTTTTTTGTTCCAGACCTGTTTCCTGCTGTATTCTTTAATCCAAAACTTAAATTGCTTCAGGGGAACAATGACCTCAATGTGAGGACTGTATCTCAGACTGTGCTTCAGAAGGGAAATGTGATTCTCTAACGACAGTAAAGATAAAATGATTAGCATTCCTCTGCAATAGGAAATTAGCTCTGGGCCAGCAGAGATCTGGTTTGATATGGCAGTGGGTTACCTGCGGCAGTGCTTGCATCACCGTGTCCAACAGGGCTCTCATCCCTACAGCCATCTTCAGCAACTTCAACACTGCAGAAAACACATTCATAATATAGTAATGGCAGTGTTAGCATGGAGGCACAAACTCAGTCCCTCTCCCAGGAGCCACACATTATAGGAAGAGAAATGTGAAATCATGTCAAGTGTTCTCCATTAGCTGCTATAGTCCCTGGCCTTTTTACGTTGCTCCTGGTTGCTTGGATACTATTAAAGTCCTGTGAATAGCAGCATCATCTATCCTGAGACTTGGAGAAAGTGTCATTGTTCTGCCTGGCTTTTCCTTTCCCCACTTTATCTGTGTTGGACCCATCTCCTTCTTCCTCTGGTTTTCGTGAGCAGTTACTTTCCCAGCCCTGGGGCTACTTTCCCACTTCCATAGGCTACCCACTTTCATACGTGATTCACTGAGGAGCTGATTTACACATCTCTTCCAGAAGATTGCATTGCCAATTGGAAAACACATGTATTTTTAATTCTGAAAAGGATCCAATGCACGGGAGAAACACTATTTTTTTTCCCCTTGAGACACAGCAACATTTCATTTCTCCTCCAGTTCCTTCTTTGCTTAGATGAGGGCTGCAATCATAGCAATTAAGCCTCAGAGCACAACATTGCCCTTCAGGAGGACCTGGGAGTACTTTATTAAGGGCCTGAGCGCTCACATTTTACGCCTTCATCATGTGGCCCTAAGACCTCCCTGTTCTGAAAAATCAGGCCCTGAAGAAGCTGGCTTCCCAACTCAGGTACGTGTCGTTACAAGTCTGAGGGGACAGATGGATGCAGAGTGACGAGGCATGCTTTGTCACTAAGTGGTGAGATGTAAAGTCCCATGGGAAATTAAATGTATTAGATGTTTGTCTTTTAAAGCCAACGTATTTGAGCTTGTGTTCTCTAATCCCAGTTAGAGATGACTTTGATTTGACTGATATATTTTTTCCAGGTACATCTCTGGGATTTATACCCACAGCTATTTCTACTTTATTTTTAAGCTCTCAGCCTTCAAGTCCTCTTAAGATAGAAACACATGGTCAGTTGGCTCAACTTTTTGGCTCCTTGCAACTATTTTCCCCCATTGTTCTTTTATTGTTTACAGCCTGTTGATGCCAGAACTATGCACATCATGATGGGGATGTGCCCCAGAACCATTTCCCAATGCTTAATTCTCTCCTGGAGGGGGCCCTGCACCTCAAACACAAGCCAATTCTGCTTTATTCATCTCACCTCGAGCAATCCTGAGAACCCTCATGATTCGGATAATAGTGGGGTTAATTGGTAGTGAAGCGTTCACCTCGATCTCTTCCAAAGTGATGCCCATGATAGACAGCAGCACGATTGCCAGATCTAATTGGTTCCATCTGGAGACAACACAAAATGAAGTTTAACATCTACTAAGAAGCTGGCAAGGGGAGGTAGCTTGTTTCACACAAATTCCAGTCATTTCAATGGTTCTAGCACTCAAATGAATCTGCAGCATTTTTCTGAGGGTATTATACAAAAGCAGTTATGTTATGAAATCATAACTAATGCATCTCATTAGAAAATCAGCCAATTCCAAAGATATTTTTGACTGAGAGGAAACAGAAGCAAAAGCTGGGCAGTTTTCTACCCAGAGGCTGTAGACCTCAGGGGAGATGCTGCGGTATCGGTCCCGCCACTTCTAGACACGACACTCGTGGACCTTGACGTGAGATCTGCCCTAGAAAGAACCGGACCCCACGTCCAATCCTTGCAACAAAACTCACACTGGGCAAAGGAAAGACCCCAAGGATTTGTGCCAGGCTGGAGAGAGGCGTAATCCCAGCACAGACACCCAAAACATGAGGAGAGGGGTGGAATGATGGGTTCCTGGCTGCTGAAGGGCTTGTGTCAAGTCCTGTTCAGTGCCAGCGCTCTTGATATTAACATTAAAGGAGGCAAAAATAGGTGGAGAAATAGTCACCAAGGACATAAAATCTGCATTTGTGAGGTAAGAGAGTGAAAGTCTAGAAAAAGAAGCAATTTCATCTGCTGCTCAGTGTCTGCTTAAGAAGAGGTCCCTTTTCTCTCTCATTTCCACTCAGGACCAGATTCTCTTTGTTGGCAAAAATTTTGTCACTTCACCAGGTCCTCTTGATTATGTGGACACGCAACTGGTGTGACAAGAGAACCAGCTGCTCCGTGCAAGACTCACTTCTATTTTGTCCACCCCCAAGGGCCAAAGTGATGCAATCACACTCCTCGTCATGCATGATCCTTTCTCCAACTCACATCCCAAGCATCCACCTACCCTGGTTTCAATCAGTCACACCAAAAAGTGTTCACACGTATCAGGAAGAGACCAGGAAGAGCATCAGGGTTCAGGACCCTGAATTTGGGCAGCTGTATCCACAAACCTGCCCCTGCAGTCATGATGGAGCTTTTGTTACCTGTCTTGGAAGAAACGACGGAACCCAAAGGCGATAAGCTTGAAAACAGACTCCAGGACAAAGATAACAGTGAAGATATAATTGCAAATCTTCAGGGCTTCATCAAGGACCTGGGATGTGGACACAGGACCGAGGTTAGATGCTAGCTCTGCTGAGGAGCTTTGCTGCCTGCAAATCTGCCCTCCTTTCACCAGTTACTCATTTCCAAACTACAGACAAAAGGCTCCATCCGTGGGCTCTCTCCGATGACGAGTGTCCCAGGGAAAAGTTCCAGTACTTCAGTGAGTGCAGAAACTGCATTTCTTCCTGGCTCCGACCCAGCTGATATAATTCACAGGAGGCGCTGATACAAACCCAGGGCACAACTCAAGCCCCACGGCAGTAACACAGCCCCAGCTGGGATCACTTGGGTGCATTTGCAGGTGTCAGCAGTGCAAACACCCTCGTGCTCTCAGCAGAAAGCTGAATTTCATCCCACTTGCTCATTTGTGCAGTGCTGCAAGAGCTGTGGGCTGGCCAGGACTGTGCAAGCACTGGCCAAATGGCTTCTTTGTGACAGCCTGTCATTTACTCCTCACCTTGAGCTTTTTGCCAAGGAGCAGAAGAGAGGGATGGCACGCCAGCAGGAGTGAGTGCCTTGGGTTTTCCTCTGCCCACGCTTCCCTCTGCAGGTGTCACAACCTGGCCATTAACTACAGGTGCCTCCTGGCTGGGACAACTCTTGCACAGTCAGGCATTAAGCTACGTCAAAGATTATTTCATCCCGAATGTCCTGGTCATGGAGTGCTGTGGTAGCAGCATCCTGCATGGCCTCTTAAGTAATGTCCGTCAAATGGGATGGTAATAACTGTGTCCAGAGCACTGTTAGGGAACGTGGGAGATGGCAACAGAGTGCTCTCAGACCAAAAATAAGACTTGCTGATCCCCGAGCAGGAGAAATCATAGCAGAGGGAATTGAAGCTGTGCACTCTGCCTTCATGCTACAGTTTAGCTTCAAGCATCCGTGGATGAAAGCCACCTCACCTGCCCAAGGAGTACAAGCCCAGCTGCCAAAGGAAGCCGTGGCTCTCAATGAGCCTCCCTGTCGTACTGCAGGGGACCTGGGCTTTGCCAGCAAACAAGCATATTTATTTGGCAAAAGCAGATTTTGCCCAGTAGCTCTTTGCCCAAACCACCTCCACGTGCACTGCAACCCCTTCTCTCTGTGGGCAGCTGCAACATCTCCAGCTGCAATCTCATCCACACGGCATCCCAGTGTATCTCACCACCAACCCCTTTCAGCACCGACACACCAAGCAATCATTAGATTGGATATGAAGCTCTCTGGTACATTTAGCCTTTTACATATCTGCAGGATCCCAGCCTCCAGTCACCCAGACCAGAGTGATTTTGGGGCCCTGATTCAGCAGGGCTCTCAAGCACGTGCATGGCTCTAACAGTGCTGTCATTTCAGCACAGCCCAAGCTTGGAGTTATTACCCAGATGCTACATACCAGAGGCTTAGAGACAAAATGTTATTTTCTTAAAGAAAATTAAAAACAAAAGCGTTCCCAACTTTTTTATAATACAAAAGAAAATGTAGCTGCAAAAAGACTGCAGTAAGACACACACCCTAGAGCAATTCCAATACAGGCTCCTTAGCCAACAACCTTTTTCATCACCAAATGACTGAATCATGCAATGAGCCTTCCAGGGTATTTAAAGGTGACCTGAACAGAAAAAATAAATTGGGCTTGTGCCGTTTCACTTTTTGGCTTCTTTATGATAGGCTGGAGGATATTTTTCCCCTTGCTTGCATGTCTTAGTTGTTTGGATTTTTTTTACATTAAGTATTCAAGTCCTGTCTAGTCTTAAAGAATATTTCCTCCTATTGTGTGTTATATTTATTCATTCTGAAAGTGGCTAATAAAAATAAGTACAAGTTATATGGCAAAGGCAGCTATTTCCATTTCATTCTTACACACAAGAGACTTGACATCCCAGGACAAGCTGTTTTTATTTTCAGAATATGACAAAGACCCAGGAACTTAGCACACTACTATATTAAAATGTGTTTTAAGGACCAGTGCCTGTGAAAATTGGAACCTATGGGACATTGGGGATTTAGGAGAAACTTTGCAAAAAGAAATATTTCACAAATTCTTCTATTCTTTTTCCTTTTTCTCCCTTTTTTTTTGGTGGAAATCCTAAGTCAAATGGAAGATTTCAATGATGATCTTGTCTAGCAAACCAAACAAACCTGCTCCCATCCTTGTTTTCAAAGCAGTCCATTTGTACTTAGCTAGAACAGAGAGGCACAATGGGATCCAGGTACCAAAAGCCGTGGTTTGAGCTGGAAGCCAGATGAAGGATGGGTACGCTCCACCAGGCAAAGGGCCAGGTCGGGCATGGTGGATGGGGGCCCCAAGGTCTAACAGCAAAACTGGCCTTAACTCTGCCCATCAGCGCATCCCACCATGGCTGAGCACGTGCCCCCGCCCCCGCTTTTCCCCCTCTCTGTCCCAGTACCTTTGGCTGCTGGTAGTGCTCCATGGCCATGGTGATCACGTTGAGGCCGATCACTCCAGTGATGAACAAATCCAGGTAGTGACTGGTGCACATCTGGTGGATCAGGAGACGGAAGCGGGAGTAATCCGAGTAGTAGGGCTTACACTGTGCTTCTGCAGCGGGGAGGAGGAGAGTGGAGAGGCACATCAAGTCATTTCTCTGCATCTTTCTGAAGTCAATGCACCCTCACTTTCCAACTCCAAAGATGACAAATTCTAGACTGATTACAGCAACATGCTGGGTTTTTTAGTTTGTTTGGTTTTGGGGTTTTTTGTTTGTTTGTTTGTTTTTTGCTTTTTTCTTGCTGGCATGTTACCATTTTAAATACACAGCAGGGCTCCCATCATCTTACATCCATTAAACATCTTCAGTGGGACATGCGCTATACTCAGCCTTATGGCATCAAGGGATGAGGTGAGCTGGGACTATTGTGCTGCTAAAGAATGTTTTCCCTGTAGGAAAATTTAAATTTAATTTAAATTAAAACAAAAATTTTTGTTTCTGATGATCTTAAAAGATCTTAAAAGACCCCAAGGTATCCAAAAGCCCAATTAATGGTCAGATGTTGGGGACAGATTTTGCTAACAATGGCTTAAAAATACAGGCCATTGAGCTAGCGGGGGTCTTTGAAAGAGAAGTAATTCAGTCATATTATGTTCTTTGCAGTAAACTGTAAAGAGAACAAAATTCAACACTTTGGCTGTCAGAGCCCTGAAAAATGGACCATAAAAATACCAAGGAAAACTGATCAGTCAGCCTTAGCGATTAGAAAATAATGATCCTCCATTTAGACAAGATTAGCGAAGTACAGATTTCACTGTTCAACTCATTCTCGTGTTCGGCTGCCTCAGGGATGACACATGCTCTTTAGACCCCGAATGTTCCTAGAGATAAACTCATTTACTCACCTAATCTCTAATGAGGAAATGCCAAGGCTGAGTATATAATTCAGTACAATTTTCAAGGAGGCATTATAATGCAGATTGAAGTGGAAAGGACTGTCTTGAATATGTCAGAGTATAATATTACTCTCATAATTAGATGATCAACTGGTTATGAAAATTATCGAGCTGTAAGAATTACATGGCTTGATTTTTAGTGCTGCTGAGCAAATGTACAGTTTGATACATTATTCTGAGCAAAAAGGTGGGCAGAATGAAGCCACAAAGCACAGGTTTGGGTTGCCCTCGGGGAAACTTAGTTCTAGAGGATTAAATTTTGCCTGGAAATAGAATTCATTTTGTCAATAGCCAGTGACATTGCAGTCAAACCCATAGATTTAATGGTTTCATGCACTCCCTGCTTCATAACGGGATCCTGAAAAATCAGAGTAGTTTTGCTTTTTTCCATAGGGACAGACCTTTCCCTTACAGCCCAGGGACCAGATAGACAAATCACTCAGCAGTTTTATTCTGTAGGGGTTTGGAATGCCCAACACTCTGCTTCAGTGTCATCAAATGAAAGGCAGTATTAATATTCTCTTTCTGATTTGCAGTGTGCTTTAGGTGATCTGTACGTGAGTGTTAAAGCATGATATCGATGAAAAGGTCTATAAAATGAATTTTCATGCTGAATCTATTGAGTGCTTACAAAAAAGCAGACTGGGAGCTGCTGACTCACTCATAAGACTTTGTCAGATACCTCAGAATCTGCATAAATCTCCATAAAGTCAAGATATCTCGATCACATTATGCTAAATTATGAGTAGCAAATTAACTAAAATGTTTGAATACAATTAGGTTAGGAATAGGACCTATTTTTATGAACCAACTTATCATCTCAGAAAGAAACACCATTGTAATTGGATCACTTACTTCTACATTTATGTATAATTCACATTCAAAAAGAAAAATGTCAATGTTTCTGCCTTTTCTTGCAGTGGATTTACTTATGAATAATTACACTGGAATTCAAATTTTTCTTAGCTTTGATTGACAGGTAATTCCAAATCCTACAGAATAGCACCGACGCTGTTAGAACAGAGAGAGGATTTAGAGAGAGGTTGTAAAATGTCTCCTGTGCAGGGCTCCTGCACCTGGATTAGCCAGTGCATGGCTCTATAAGCAGGGTTGCTAATTGTTCATATATCTGCCAAGGCTCTCTCCCTTCACATCCCCCCTCTCCCAAACGCCAAAGCTCCTTTTCACCTTTCCCAGCATGCCCCCAGGTTTCCACAGCCAAACGTCTCTGGATGCTGCTGTTGCAGATGTGCTTGCAGCCTTAGAAAATTACCGTTAGTAAATGTTTCATCCTTCCCCATTAACTTTGTTAAGAGGGGATTTGTCAACCCTGTTCATGAATCATGCCACCACTCACCTCACCGGTGGCCGCATGCCGGCCATGCGTATTAGTGCAGTGCAGATATTACCGTGAGATGAACCACACACAAGCTGGCATGCTGTCCGAGGACTATAGATAAATAGCTACTGTGTGTAGGTGGGCAGGGAACTTTCTGAACAGATAAACCATTTTCTTGATATTGTATAAATACTAGTTATTTAACCTGAACTGCGCAGTTCTGCAGAGAAGTTGGGTGTTGCTCATGTGTAATCATCCAAGTGCAAAAGCCCATGCCCCCTATCACACAGTATAATTTCTAATTATTGCAGTAAAGATCTAAACAATACCAACATCTTGGGAAATACAGACATCTGTTAAACTCCAGGTGGTGAACTTCACAACTAACACAACACCACATTACTGTACTGTTACAATACACTGTGTCAAGAACAACAAGAGCTCTGGGTTAGTCTCGGTTATTACTGGAAAGGTTAACTTGGCTTCCCGGCACACATGGCATTAAAGAAAAGAGGAGGAGAGCAAATGAACAAAAGAATTGGCAGAATGAGAATGTGAGAAGATGGGAAATACAGCAAAAGCCCACTACGAGACATCAGGCTGGTAAACAGGGTGTAAATCAAGCTGCTTCACCATGGCTGGAGGCCAGGAGCGGGGGAGAGGGAGAAGTGGCTCAAATTTAGATATCGTTACACTGGAGAAAATCAGCTCAGACAAGTGGAGCCTGAGCAATCCCCTCCTAACCCAGGTAGGAAGGAGATTTTGCAGCTGTTTGAGAGCTGGCTTGGGAGAATCCCACCTGCCCGGGCATCCTGGGCAACGGTGGTCTAAGGGGACCATGCCGGCAACTGGAGCAGGTTCCTGGCATGGGGGGCACCCAGTTTTAATTTATCATTTATCACAGGCTCTCAACTCAAGTTGTTTCCTAAGCAGACATTCTGTACTCCTCTTGGCATCATCCCACAGGATTATAATGGATCCCCTTGACAAGGGCTGGGAGGCAGAGCACAGCAGCCCCAGCCTGTGTCCTGGGGCAGCCAAACTCATCACCATCCTCTCCTGCCCATTTGGAAAGGCAATGACCATTGTTGGTGCAGGAGAAACATTTCCTATCCTAAGCCTGCTCCAGCTTCTCCCTTTGGCTTCGGCGATCACAGCCTGGGTTTGGAGCACTAAGCCCCGTGCCGCGTTTCGTCTGAGAGCTCTAGGACGTGACCTGTGAAACGGCACTGGTGACCAGCAAAGCAGCGCTGGAGGCACCCCTGGTTTTGCCGGGCAGCGTCACTGCCAGCTCCAGAGGGTCCCAAGGTTTGGCTGGTCTCTGCCAGCGCCATGGGAGATGGGGCCGGGGCCACTCTCTTCCCATTAACGGCATGTTCTCAGGGGGAATGGGGCTGGGCATGCAGCTCTGAAATATCTCCGAATAGCAGCTGCCTCCAAATATAGCCCTGTCAAGAGAGAAATTGCCACTTTCCCTGAGGTGACTTTCGAGCCAGAGGTGTGTGGGCATGGGAAATTGGAATTCACGAGAGTGGGACAATTCCATTACCGTCTCCTCCAGCTTCTTCCTTCTCCTATAATAAGGGAATTAACTACTTTGCAGGTCTGAGTATATCCAGAGGACAGCGGCAAACCAGTGAGCAATGAGCCTGTGACGCAGCTGGATTTACAAACTGTATTAAGAATATTATTAGGTTAAAAAGTAGTTTGCACTGAAGGAACTTTTTTTATTTAAACACACTATTTTACTTGGCTTTTATTGTACTGAATGGATTTATTTAAAAAAAAAAAACAAAATGGAAAATGATAAGTTATTTCCACTGAGAAGATTCCAGTTGTGATAGAATGTAGACTTAGGAAAAAAAAAAAAAGGAAAAAATAAAATTATAATATCTCACTTAGCACCAGACAGCAGCACACACACACACACAATACTCCATCTTATCTTCACAAAAAGAAAAAAGAAGCCCTCTGTAAGTGCAGAGATGTGTGGAAGCTTTGGGGTCACAACTCCAGATTTCTCATTGAACCACAGGAGGTTCGTCTACAGCACCCGGGACTGATTCCCTAATATCCCCAACAGTCAGGTTCAGAAATAAAACCTTTCTATTCCCTCATGCCGGTGCCTGAAGAGCAGCATGGCACATTCACTACCACTGGATCCAAAGAAAAGACAACAAAAGGAAACACAAAGCACAGACCTGACAATTGCACACGTTTTAAAGGCAAACTCTAAGAGTCTTTCTGAGCCTGGGCAGGATTATGGAGGGGTTTGGAATGAGTTCAGTGCCTTAAAAATAAAATAAAATAAGACGCCTTGATGTAGCTCTGTAGGACCAGGAGAGGAGTCACAACCAAACAAAAAGAAGAAAAAATAAACAGACCCCTAAACCCAGTGACAACACCCCCCCTCGTGCTGCCCTGTTTCGCAGGAGAGGACAGGAGGCCTACCAAGAAGAGCAAGAATGAAGGCAAAGAAATAAAAATACCAGGAACGGCAATGGGAAGGAGATTCAGGATTTATTAAAGCATGTTGTGATAACTTCCAACAAGGCCTTAGAAATATAAGGTAGGAACCTCGGTCTCCCTGAGTTATCCTCTGCAGTGAAAGCTGATAGCCCTCACCTTGCAATTTTTATTTAATCAAAAATCCCTGCAATATGTGAGAGATGGATGGAGCCCTGCTCCCATCTCAAGCACTGGGAACTTGTTCACAGGTGAGAGTTTTAATGGCACAGTTTTCCTAGCATATTATTTTTGTCAAAAATTACAGCTATATTTGTTTCTATGTTGGCGCCTCTAATTATTCAGGCTAATATTCTTAAGTTATGAATTAAACAAAATGCTTGCCAGATCAAAGCTTCTCCTAAAAATAAAAAGAGCAAGGGACAGATTCGCAGCCCTGAGCACTGTCCTGGTGAGGGGGGACAGAAAAGGGAGACATGAACGAGGCGTGGTCGGGGTGGCCAGGTCAAACCTCCAGCAGTGTTCTGCCCAGCTAGTCCATCCCCACCAGGACCTGGAAAGGCTTTGAGGTGGCATCTTTATTTCTTTTCATTCACAAGATGCCTCATGGATTGAGCAACTCTCAATCAATATGAAGAATTTACAAGCTGGGCAGCACAACAGCTAAAACCCAAGTCCACGCTGAGAGTTGGGGTGGGGTTGATCTCTCCATTAAAGCACTGAGGCTCTGCACTATACTGAATTCTACCCTGCTGAAAAAATACTGTGCTTCCTTGAAGCACGGTGTTCGTGGAGCAATGAGCAAGGGCTGGAGAAATAATGAAATAACCTCCTTAGGCGAGACTGCCTGCTTTCCAGAGATACTCCTGCAAATTATTCAGAGACTCCTAAGTTGGTGGTTGGAAAGCTAGAGTAAATAATAAAGGACCCATTTCACAGTCCAGTCATTATTCTCTGAGAAAAAAACAAAAATAAAAAAAAAGGAGAAAAATAAAAAGCCATGAAAAGTCTGACAGTGTCTTAATGAAAACCAGAAAAAAAAAATACTGAAGAACATAACATGATCAAGGGGTAAATTAAGGGTTTGCAAGTGTCAGTCCTGAGCCAGGTCTGCAGACCTGCAGTTCAGAATGATATGCGTGTGCCATGAAGTAAGCAAACGAGCTTTGCACCACACACGGGGTTTAGTGGGATGCCTCACAGCAGCGGTGGCCAGCCGTTAGTGACACAGCACTGCCATTCAAGTGGGACGAGACGTGCCGACTTCCCAGTACCTTGCACTGCACTGGCTGAGCTCTCCATTAATACATCATCCAGCATTAGATCTAAAAGAATGAAACGGCATTAATCACCCGGCAGGACACATGGCAAGACTTCCCTTCCCCTTCAGAGGTCCCTACGGCTCTCAGGCTCTCCATTGCCCCTACTGGGAATGTTTCCTTGCAGGATCCTCTCCTTGTGTCTCATGGAAGGTGGGATCAGGTACGCGGGCTCATCGTGAAAAAGGAAGGGCTCTTGTGCTTCTCCCATGTACACAGGTGGAAGCCCAAGAGATCCCTAAGAACCGCCTCGCTTGACGATGAAGGAGACGACACTTCTGAAGGACGTACTTTGTACATAGCCTGCTGGGCCAGCACACCTTACAGCGACCACTCCTGCATCTACCTACATCTCACCGAGCTGGGATCTCACATGCTTTTCTGGTTTTCAGATGTCCAATTGGGTAAATGCATTTGAAGAATCTATGATAAAAAATGACTGTGCAACCGGTCGGATGTCTACATCTGTCTATGTCTGACATCCATAGTTTGGTTTGCGCATCTGTGGACACTCAGGAAGCCCAGCTGAAAGGAACCCCCATGCAGTTGCTGGCATAATCAAAGCCCTAGTCTTGGTATCATCTGCAAGTTCCCACCATGCAGAATGAATCTAAGCAATGACATCTGTTGCCTCCGAGGGCAAAGCTGGACGTGGTGAATTAAAACCAATGTTTCACTGAATGTGAATTGGGAAAACTGTTCTGAAGCAATTTGGAGGGCTTCATACTTCGCTCTTGAAAGGTTTTTATGGCGATTGAATACTCAGCAATATTTGATCCTCAGTAAAATAGCTGTTTATTGCCTCTTTAATTAGGCATTTCATAGGACTGAATGAATAACTACATCTCCAAGGATGGTTTGTGATTCCTTCCCACTGGGAAATTGCCCAGACTTACGTCTTTTCTTCATCTAGTTCCTCTAGCATTACAAATAAGGTCATTAATAATAACTAAAGATCTATTTTTCTTCTACAGAAATGTCTGCTTTCCAAAACTGCAACTTTAAATAGGGATCTTTCTGTCCAGTCTTTAAAAACATTTTCTAGCTCATCAGCCTGAAACTATGTTTGGGAACTTGGACTGACCGAAAGAGCTTTCTAGGCATTTCGTTGATGTGAAAAACAAAAAAATAAATTCTTTCCATCTGTATCCCACTTAACTGAGAACAGTCTAACATGTCCTCCACCGCTCTTGAGGGAAGCCTCCATCTTTCCACTGACCATCGAGGAAGCCAGGCTCTCGGCATAAACCAAAGTTTGATGTCCAGAGGCTGGTGTGATACATCCCATTGGTTACAAAACCTGTGAAGCTCATGGGACTTAAAGATGTGACCAAAAGAAAGTGCTGGGTAAGTGCTGAGTTGAGAGAGGCTGAGACACCGTTGTGGTACTTGGTTGCACGATTAAGCCTGTCACAGCTATTAAACACCTATTAACCACTATTAAAAAAATAAAACAGACTTGATATTACCAGCTTTCGGAACAAGCACCTGATCAGACAGCCTCTTAAACAGTACTGAAGTCTGTCAAAGATAGAGAAGAGATGTGAAAGAGGACACAGTGAGAGCAGCAGGCGGACTGACCAGGGAGGGAAAGCGTGAGGCCATGGACACGAAGGGCAATGGAGAAAGTTCAGTCAGAAGAGAGAGCATGCGAGAAGAAGAGTACCTCTGACCTGTGGCCTCTGGCTGACTTATTTCTTACTTATTCAACCAAATTAAAAGAAAAAAAGACTAAAAGACAAATGTCGGGTTGGAGACTTTTGGCAGAGTGGAGGTCTAGCCTCCTCTGACCTGTAAAGCCTTCTCTAGGCAGGGCTGCAAGCTTGCACATCCATTGTGGAGTTTGGTTCAATTTGCATCAGTGCAATTTTGTCTAGTTAGTTACTCTCCTCAACTGTTTGGTTTGTTTTTTTTTTTTCTAATCTGTATTTCTCAAGCAAATGCATTGATATGTTTCTCTAAGGAGTTTTTAAGCATTACTAGAATGAGATGGCTCCATTATTTTATTACACTCTTGAATAGCAGTGGTGCTACTGTGCCAATAAATAAACCTGCTTGATAAATGGGACAGGTAACATCACTGTGGCATTACAAGGCTGTAATAAACCAAATAGTGAATCCGGTTATCAGTAACAGTGCTCATGACTCAGAAGATTTATGGTGCCATCCTGCACTGCTGATCTTTGCAGTTGTCACTATTTGTGTAACACTAAGCTCTGCTATCCAAGAAGCTCCAGGTCTGATTATCATTATATTTTAATTTAAATAACCTCCAATGAAAAAGTCATTGCAAATCATGCAGCCATTAAAAAGGCTTCCATGGCTCCTTGCTCAGCCTAAAACGACACTATTTCCTTCATGCAAATTTTATAGCTGGACATGCTTTTGGGAAAAGAATGATCACCAGACGCGAGGCAGGGAGGGGAGGGAGGAGGGGATTGTGTGGAAGGTCAAGCAGGACTCAGAAAGATGTGGAAAGACTACCGACCAGCCATCTGTTTCTCCTTACTCCTTCTCTTTTTCTCCAGCCGGCGAAGCCTCTTCTCCTCCCGCCTCTTGGCTTCTTCCTCCTCCTGGTGCTGCCGACACTTGTGGAAATTCTCCACCACCACCCCCACGAACATGTTGAGGACAAAGAAGGCCACGATCAGAAGGAAGGAGATGAAGTAGAGGAGCATCCACGGGTTGTAGTTCATGACTGGCTGCAAAGTGGAGGAAGGCAAATGTCAACTGGACCTCAAAAAAAAAAAAAATGGGAGCAAACTGGTACAGCTGCCCCATCCACAAAACCATGGGGCCCCCTTTGAGGCAGCTCAGTGTGCTCTACTCTTCCTGAAAATTAGAGCCCTCTGAGACATTTTAACTGAATGCTCCCAAAACACAAAGCACGTTGAGGACAGAAAGGCCACCTCTGTTCTGCCAACAGCAGGACAGTAGCATCCTTTGCAGCTATTATAAGTCCCTCACTGAAAACCTGTACCTACACAAATCACTTCTTTTCTCTTGAAATGTCCAAATTGCTTAAAAAGTCATTAAAAACCATTCTTTGATACATGTAGTTCTCCTAACGCTAGTTACACCAGTCGTGTTGCAAAATTTGCAGGGAAAAGGCTGGGTCCAAAGGCTAGGACTTTTCACTTGACTCCTTGTCATGCCCCAGTACTTGGGTTAAATGGCTCCCGTGATCCCAACCCCATAACCCCATTTGACTGTGGAAGCCAACAGTATTTTGCAAAACAAGTGTCAAAACGTATGACCTTTGACAACTTACTTCTTACAGCTCTGCTAGAGCACATACCTGCTGGTCAACTCCCACAGCATCTAATCCATCATACATGATATCCACCCACCCGTCCTTGGAGGCCAGAACAAAGAGAGACATCAGGGCCTAGAAATACATGGGAAAAAAGTTAGACAGAGTTGCACTAAAGCCCTTTTACCTGTAAGATTTTATTCCTCTTTGCCCTTTCCTGTTTGGGGATTATCATTACCTGTCCGATAATAGGGCACTTTGATGCCCAAGGTTTCTCCTGGCAGCAAAAACCTATCAATGTCAGTGCCCAGTTCAGCAATGAGTGCTAATTTGGAAACCACAAAGCCACAGACAAAAGCAGCTTCATTTCCACCCTCCAGGTCTCTACTGCTGCTGACTAATTAGTCCTTACCATGCTTCTAAAATAAGGCTGCGTTGCAGAGATGGTTGAAAGTGTCCGGCTCTATTAGACAAGCCCTTCTGCAAGATATATTTGGTTTGTTATGTAGCAGTGAAGCAATTAAGTACTCCACGAAGCCACATGTGCTTGTTCTGTTCCAAAAAGAAGTGTATGCCTGCTTGGAAACACTACCTTTGGGATTTACAGAGACAGAATGCTGTGTATGTGAACTGAATATTTACTGTGAGTGGTAGTGCCCTGTAAGAAAATCCCATGGGATAATAATGCACTGGTTTTAAGTCAAGGAAGTAAAGGAGCAAAGAAGCAGATTACCATTCTATTAATACCTGGCCGAGATTATCAAAATTATACTTGTGCCGGACCCATTTGTAGCTTGCTTCTGTACAATCCGATTTATTTGTGATGTTTCTGGTGTCCTCCCCCTGGCAGACAAAAAACTTGCCTTTGAAAAGCTGCAAAACACACAGAGAAGAGAGGAAAGGTAAGGGTTCGGTCCACAGGATTTCTCTGCAGATGATGGGCATTTCTCCTGAGGTATTCTGCACAGCCCACGCTGACCAGAGAAGTTAAGGGAAATGGCCTCATTCGTGCTGGTTGTTAAGTGCGAGCAGCCTGTACAATATGCGCTTAATGAGCAAATGCATGATTTCACATCGTTTAGGACACCCACCTCGTGCATTAGGTTGTCTGGTTCAGTGATCTGAGACTGGCCTAAAGGCCTTTCCTTCTGGCTCGCCAGCTCAAGTGTAGCCCTGGCTAATGGCCCAGACCAGCTAATGGCTTCTTGTCACACGTGGAATGACTCTGGTGACTCCAGCCCAGTTAACGATGCTGGTTTCAAGAGTCATCAACAAATTAAATGTAACAGGGGCCCTCTGTCAGCAGAGAACAGGCGGCACTGAAGGGGCACAGCGATGGACTAAGCTCTGCTCTTACAGGTCACAACGCGACACGTCGGAGAGCAGCCGAGCTGCTGCCAGTGATGTTGGGCTCTCACTGAATCAAGACTGCTGTCAGTCCAGCTCCGGTCTCTGATCCTGAATGCTTTCTCCAGCCGTCATTAGGCTCTGCAGTCCGTGCAGGGGTCTCCGAAACTATTCCTTGTGCACCTGCTTAAGGATTCAAGCCTGACCGGTGCTGGGTGCCTGATACCGAGCTTATTTCCATTGGTGTAAGCCAGGAGAGATGCAGCTCCTGGGGAGTCAGCTCCTGATTTACACCTGAACGAGGAACATGAGTCTCCATGCATTTAATTCTAGACCTGGTGCATCCCGCACACACAACAGAGAGTGGCAGGGGATGATTACTGCTTCAGACAGGGTGATTGATGCTAGCAGGATGGATGGCACCAAAGCCTGGGAGACATCCAACAAATCTGGTTTTATTTGCTGACAGAAGATATTGACATTACTGTTTGGGGGAGAAATGGCAGCCTGCTCTCCAGGCTCCTTAAAACACCACCGGGGTATACACAGAAAAGATGCTGATGGGTTTTGATCTGTTGTTCTAGACAAATATCAGTAGAAATAATAGCGAACAAGATAAACCCACACATTGCTCCATGAGTTTCCTTCAGAAATCAACAGCAGAAGGATGTTCTCTAGGCATGCAAAATTAATGACCACTCAACACAGTCATAAAACTTCTGGATGCAAGATGAGAAGTATTCCCTGATCTTTCCATGGAGAAACACTATCCGTGGGTAAGGCAGACTGGGGAGATACAGTCTTCACAGAGAAAAGTTTTAATTAAGCAGGAAGGTAAACAACTGGTTTTAACATATTGTCTATAAATATAACTTCTTCAGGAGCTGGACTGTAATGCCACTCAGATGGGAGCAGTAACACAGCTACTATAGGGTTTGGAAATGCAAAGCCCCATTTGCAAAAATGCTGACCCCTGCCAGTGCTTCAGATTTTAGCACTTCCAAAAGTGAAAGACCCAGTGATTCCTACTGTACTTGTTTTATCAATCTATTTCTTGTGTCTTATTAAGGACTATTCACGTGTGGACAAGCTCTACAACAAAAACAGTCTTGCTAAGAGGAGACACTGTTAGAAACCTGGATGTCTGGATTTTAATAGCATTAAAAACCTCTAGTTTGATCCCCAGTTTATATTTACATGGGAAAACCAACTGTAACTTTGAGAGATCATCTTTTTATAGAAAATAGCTATGGCCCTCATCTTATACCTAATTAGCCATAAATATTAACTGAGAATTTTGCATCCTGAATACAGGATCAGTCTTGCTTGTATCTACCACTTAAGCACATCAATAGTCATGACAATTTACCATAAGACTGCA